ATGGGGATGTCACATATATATATATATATATATATATATATATATATATATATATATATATATATATATGGACCAAATTCTAGAAATTAGGGTTTGAGGATCCACCATGTACGCCCTGCATACACGGAGTATGCCCAGCGTACATTACGTATGCCCCACATACTAAGTCCTTAGCCAAAATCACCAAAACGCCACAAAGGGGCAAAATGCAAAAATTATCATACTAAGGGGGTTAAAAGATAAATACTTGAAAATCAGAATGTTACAGTTGACTTTTTAACTAGGTTTTACTTTTGGACAAATTAAGGGTTTTGGGTTGTAGTCTGAGTTTTGGTCCATGTTTGTTACATAGGTAGCATGTAGTGTCGGTTATTGGATCTGTGATTAGTGTTGTTATCTTCTTGGCTACGAGGTGAGTTTTCTCACTATAGTTTGTATTACATTATGTGTCCTTGTGTGTACGATGTTGGTATGCTGTAGTGATATGTTAGATTGATAGATATGTATAATTACATGTATTTGCTGGTTATTGATTATTGTTTGCATATGTCGACATAGTACGGTTTGGGTTGAGGCGATACGACTTTGTGTTGTAGGCCAACTAAACAGGGGCCCACATCCAACCGTGTGTTGTGAGCCCAGGGGAAATGTAATTTGAGGACCGTGGGCCTGAGGGCAATCCAGTCTGATGATTGTGGGCCCATGGGTAATCCAGTTTTATGTTGTGAGCCCGGTGTGCATGCATTGTATATGTATTTTTATGTGGGGTATTTTAGGGGAATTCACTAAGCTTTGAATTATAGTTGTTGATTTCAAAGTTTTCAGGTACTTCAGATGATTGGGGCAAGGCGAAGGCATGATCATACATATTCTCCTGTTGATTTTTAGTAGAGAGATTATTTGATACAATGATTTTTATGGTTTTGGTTTGAAAACAATGTTTGATAGTCTTATGGTTTTATGAAAAATGTTTTTTAGAAATAAAAAAATTTATCATGGTTTTTGGGATGTTACAATTTTGCTTCTACTTCTGAAAGTGTTGAAACATAAAAGTTATTATAAAAAATAGTTAAAAACATAAAAAAAAAAATAATTAAGCTTGCATGTTCATAATATGTAGTTTTTCTTAGTCCAATGTGTAGTGATGAATGTAAACTTCTAGAAAATTATCACAAAAAAGTATATCATTATATAATATAGTTTCTAATATATTACATGTTTGTTGATTTTTATATATTCCTTTTGTACGATTTATATGTATTTAATAGGTTTTCTTAGTACGAATGTTATTATAGTTGTTTTAGTTTTTATATGATACTTAAAGTTATAATATTTATTGTTTTGATACTATTTTCTATTTGTTATAAGTACAAATCAACATCTAATCTAATAAACGAAAATGATTTATGATACATGTCGTGTTCTCTATGTATTTACCACATGTAATTTTCTAAGATATTATAGATTTCTTATTTTCCACATATCATTTTTTTGCTTTTTTTTCACTTGTTTTTAAATTAAAAATTCTAGAATTGAATAATACATAGTTTATATATGTAAGATATTTAATTATATTAAACTCTTAGAATAATTGCTATACAGACCTTAATTTCCTTTCTTTTTAATTCCTTGATAATATGAATATCTTAGTTAATTTCACAGTTAAGCTCTATTAACAATTCCAAAATTATATAATATTGAAGGAAAGGATTTCACAAGATCGTGATACAAATTTCAATATTTCTGGTATTGTAAAAAATACGTATGCTTATAATTTTTTATATTAATTTTTTTTTTAAATTCGTATAATATACGGATCTCACACTTAATATATTTGATATAAAAATTACATAACTTTAAACGAATATATAAAATTTCAATTAAAGATATACATAACTTAAACGGTTAAACCTATCCTGATTGTTCTAATTTTTTGTAATGTTAGAGTCAGTAAATGATCAGTTTTAGTTTTATACTGTTTTTTTTTATCTCTAGTTCCACCCATCATTTTTTTTATTGTTTTATCATCTACGGTTCCAACCATCAATTTTTTTTAAGAATATGAAAAAGGAGTCCTAGTGTTTGAAATTTTATGCAAGCTAATTGAAAGTGAGCAACAATGTCACCCTCTACTTTGCCTTTTAGACCCTTTCACCTCAAGTTTGTCCCCTCAAGTAATTCATTTTCTTTTTCTAAAATTCAAAGTAAGGTATCCAATAAATTGTGCATGTCATCCCTTTCTTCACAAAAGCAAAGAATTAAAGTTAAACATGTTATATGTTTATATAATATAATATTTTATATTTTATAATTTATTATTGCAACTAATTATATGAAATAATTCAATATCACACAATCATTTTCGCAAACTACACATTTAAACATCCTCTAGATATAACATATGACATTTTTTTACCAAATTAGCACATGACATTCACACAAAAACATTTTTTATATTAAATATCGAATAATTATTAAGGATAGAAGTACGTATTGCAGTATTGTTGTCGACATAATTATTCGTGGCTTGGTAAAGAAATTTACCCCAATCATTTTGACTTCAAATTCACACAAAGAAATCATGGTTTTTTGCCTTTTAGCCTATAAATTCTCCCACTTCCCCTTATCCAAACAACTTCCCATCAGCCATGGCAGTTGATGTTTCTGAACCTTTTATAAGTCCAAGAATCTCTTTCTCCTATGATCTCAACAACCAATCATCCGACACCATCACCGCCTCCACCACCACCACAGCAGCTACCGCCGTCACCAACACCTTCGAATTTTGCATCACCTTGAACCTTCTGCAACAAATCACCTCCGCAGACGAGCTATTCTACGACGGAGTACTCCTCCCTACACAAATCAAAAAACCCGAAAACCTTCTTCCCAAACCCAAAACACCACTACCAGAAAATAAAGCCATGCACGTACATAGAAAACGTCTGAAAGAGCTTCTATCTGACAATGACGACGAACAACACAAACAAGAGAAATCTTCATCGACATCGTTTTGGAAGTTTGCACGAAGCACAAGTTTGAACTCTGAGAATGGTAGAGGCCCAAAAAGGTTATTCCGTTCTTTATCGTTAAAACGACTGTTACAGAGTAATTCAACTGATTCTGCATTGAATCCGAGGGAAAACGATGCTCCGGTGCGTATAGGGAAGTTGAATTCAGGCAAAGAGCCGGCAATGGTACGGATACATCATAGTTGTCAGGGAGATAATTCTTGTCGGAGGTCGGCAACGAAGAAGAACTCCGGTGATGTGAATAAAGTTAATCCTATATTGAACATTCCACCAGCTTATAATATGAACTTGTTCGGGTCTGGTTCATTGTTCTGTAAGCCCAAAAGCAAAACCAGATAAATTATATTTCTTGTGATGGTTTTTTTTTTTCTTGTACATGTATATGTTTGTTAACTTTAATATTTATTAAGTTTTTGGGTTAGATAAAAAAATTAATTAAACTAATTTATGTGCCTCTTTACTAAATGTCACAGTTTGAATAGATATTACGAAAAAATTATTTATTTCACAAAATGCATTTTGTTTCTTGCACAATTGCTTTAGTAGATGATTTCTCAAATAATGATGCCATTATGTAGAAGATGAATTTTGTGAAATAAATGATTTGTTTTCAATAAAAAAGATAATGTCATAAAAGTATAAAAGTATGTTTGTAACTTTTTAACAATTTTTTTTTTCACTTTTACTTATAAATTTTTACTTAAATTTTTAGTTTTACTATTTTTAACTTCTATAATAGTTTTATTGTTTTTTTAATGAAACTCACAATAAAACCTTTAAGTTTCTAAAACTTTATACGGTTTGCTCTAAGTACATTTATTTTCAATTTTATCTCATATATTGCCATTCAAAAAAAAATTATCTCATATATTTCTTTGTAACTTGTTAATTTCATTCGTTTTGCTTTTTTTTTTTCGGTTCATGTTGATAGGGCAATTTTTGTTGACGTGACACATCACGTGAACGTCTTATAAAAAGAAATGAAACAATGGTCTAAAGAAGACACGGACTGGACACATTTGGGAGTATGCATGCATCTTACTAGTGAAACAAACAATGTTTTTTGAAATTAATACTACTTTAATAACAAAAATATATTTAATTAACGCTACTTTAATTATATTTTTTATAACTAATATGAAAAACATTCTCCCAAAATATGGAATAATCTGAGACGTACACTTACTCTTGATCTTTCGTTTGTACACATGAAAGCCTACATCATGATCAAAATAACCCTAAAAATTGTTTAGAATATGTCAAGTTTATTTTTTTCTTGTTTAACGAACACACTTGTAATTAGATACAACTTAGACTACACACAATGTCTTGTTAGTGCATGCATGTTAGACAACGCCTAATTCCCTAACATTACTACATGCAATATGACACGTAGCGTGTATATGACTATTAAAAATAAAAGTCAAATAGCATATAACCTAGCCGTATCAACATGGTACAGTAGTGTATATACTCTTATTTTAGAGGAAACAAAACTGAAAATTTATATTGATCACATTGGAGGATTTTTGGCACCTATTTTACTTAAAACCAAAGTTTTAGATTTATTGCAATTTTTATATAATATGGATATGAATACTCACAAGGATATAAGAGTATATTTTTTAACACACTTATAAGATAGTTCGAACCCCCATAAATAGTCATATCCTAGATGCATGCAAGCATTTCCACCCCTTCCCACTCCATCTCACCCCGCCCTGCCCATCCCCATAAATGGATTTTGTTATAGCCATTTGTCATTAAGCTTAATTATTATATGCTAAAATTTTAAATTTTATATAAATTCTCATAACTTATAATTGTACTCTTCTAGAAAAATAATAAAACGATTGATGAAGATGCAACAATGTATACAATTAAGTCTGTGATATAAGTGGTGGATAAATGATAAAAATGTATATATGAACATGTCAAAGAATTGGGAAACAAGTAAACAAGCCTACCCTTGTTTTGTGGTAAATTCTCATGACCTTTCTTTTTCTTTAGAAATTTTGGTGCTTTTTCAATAATTACATGTCCCTTGTTGCTTTGGAATATCCATGCTTTTTCCTTTTTTTTTTTTGGTATATTTCTTACATCGTATTTAAATTCAAAACTTAGGTCAGCCGATAGTAGGCTACTTAAATTAAATTAAAACAGATTTTATGTCCGTTTTTATTTTTATTTTGAGACTGATTTTCCTTTAACCACATTTGAGAATACATATGACAAAGTTGCACTCGATCCAAGGTTATTGAAATAATCATTAGCCTGATGTGAATTTAAATTCGTTTTTCTTTACGATTTAACGATGATGTGGAAAATAGAAATAAATATATTTAACTGTTAATATTGTAAAAAAAAAAGAATCATATATATTCGGACTTTTTATAAACCTTTTTATTTTTAGAATCTATCAAATTTTCCATTATTTTCGTTCTTAACTTTTCAGTAGGTTTAATGTTAATTTTCCTTACAATTTTTTTCCCAAAAAATGCAAGTTTTTTTTCTTAAAATAGAAACTTTGTATTTAATTGTGTTAGTGATTAGGGTTTAGGCTTAAGCCCTTTAGGGTTTACATTAGGTTGTGTTTGGCGCGACACAGCTAGCTGAAAAACTGACTTATTTTTCGAGCTTTTTCAAGTTGTAATGTTTGGCAAGCAAAAAATTAGCTTATAAGCTAGCTTTTTAAAAAGCTACTTAGATTAGTTTTTTAGGAGATTTTTAAAAAATTTCCATATATACCCATTAATTAATTATAAAAACACATTCTTTTTAATGTTCTTTTATGTCATTTCATATTTTTAGCTAGTTTTACCAAACGACATTTTTTATCAGTTGACTTTTTAGCTATCAACTAGCTTTTTATTTAACAGCTAACTTTTCAGCTATCAACTAGCTTTTCAGCTAACAACTAGCTTTTCAGCTAGTACGCCAAACATAGCATAGGTCTCTTATGTATCCCTATTTATATGAGGTTTAACCTCACTATTTATCAATGAAACATTCTATTCTATATTATGGTATCGGAGCCAGAGCATAATTCCCGTACTTCCTAATCTTCCTCCTCAAATCTCTCTCTTTCCTTTTCATCCATTCTTCTCCCTCACGGCTCATTGTTCTGCCGAATCCAAAACCTAAGAACATTCATCCCATCTTGCTTGTTCTACCCAAAAAATGTTTGTTCCTACCACTCAAATACATAAAGCTTTTGTTGTTACCAATATTAAGGCTCACATACATATCCTTCTCGATCTCGATCGACACAACTATGATATGTCGTGCGAACTCTTCACTACTCATTGTGAAGCCTATGATGCCCTTGGCCACATCGACGGAACCTTCGATGCTCCTACCACTCTATCCACTGATCCTCAATGGAAAAAGGTAGATGCCGCCATCCGTACCTGGATGACTCTCTCAAAAAACTTAGCCAACACAGTCATCAAAACCAACACTACGATTCGTCAACTTTGGCTTAATATCGAGAAACTATTTCGAGACAACAAGGATTCTCGCATCATGCAAGTTGATAGCGAACTCCGTACAATCTCCATAAGAGACCTAATCTAAACCCTAAAGGTCTTAGGCCTAAACCCTAATCACTAACATGATATAGAATAAAATGCTTCATTGATAAATAGTGAGGTTAAACCTCATATAAATAGGGATACATAAGAGACCTAATCTAAACCCTAAAGGGCTTGGTCCTAAACCCTAATCAATAATAACCCCCCCCCCCCAGTTTGATCGGGAGAGGAAGATTAAACTGGAAAAATAAAAACATAAAACATAAAACATAACATAAATGAAGACATAGACAGTGACGATGGTATAGCTCTAACGATGACGCCTAACAACATCCGCTCGTTGGAGAAGGAGAAAGAAGAAGCGGCGGTTCCTTTGTATAAGAAGAAAGGAGCGGCGACGACGACGATCATTGAGTCGGTGGCAGAGGAGTCCAGAGAAAACCAGCGAGAAAGAAAGAGGGGTCGAGCTGCGGCGGACGGAGCCTATTCCAACTGACTTAAAAAATAGATTTGAAGAAGAGGCAAGTTAAGGAGAAGGCAGAAAGCAAGCTTAAGGACAGGAGCCATCCGACGAGGAGACATAAGCAAACGAGGTAGTAGAAGAAGCCGATCGGTGGCTGTTTTATTATGTAGAAGAAGAAAAAACTAAGGGAATATGAAGCATAATGAAGGCATCTCCGACGACTATGAGATAATGTCGTCGGAGGTGGAGGGCGGTGGTAGCGAGTTGTGGTCAGCGGTAGGATTTTAACCTAGAGCTCTGATACCATGATATAGAATAGAATGCTTCATCGATAAATAATGAGGTTAAACCTCATATAAATAAGGATACATAAGAGACCTAATCTAAACCCTAAAGGGCTTGGGCCTAAACCCTAATCACTAACAAATTGGCTCATAATTTTTGAATTGTTGTTTCTGCTAACTGCTCTTTCCGGGTGGTCTTTAAAATTAAGATTTGAGGAACAATTAGATTCTTTTTGAAGTTAGAAAAAAATGTTGTTGTGTCTAATTTTGTTGGCAAAATACATATTAAAATTTATTACAAGATGCTCGAAGCTTGTTGATATTGAATAAAACAAACAAAAAGAGGATTTTTGAACTTCAAATTATATTTAAAAATCCAATTTGAGCCTTTTGTGATTTGACTATAATTATATCACAGATTTCTTTTAGATTCTTTTTTTTTCTCACTAGTAGTCGTATCAATATTATCATATTTAATAATATCCTTATGCATTGTATTTTTTGTTCATTTTCAAACTACATGCAAGAACTTTGAGCTAAAACATAGAACTTTCACTTTTCAAATTAGTTGTAACTGTGACAACCATCAAATTTCGGTCAAGTCAAAGTCAAACAAAGTCAACTAGTCAAACCGGTCAACT